TTTATTTCATTAACCACAATGTTTTAGAGTGATGGTATGCACCCTAATACAGAAGGAGTGATTCAAAATCCATCAAGAGTTAAAGGTCAGAGCCAAAGTCAGTGGCTTTGAATCCCCGGTCAATAAGAGTTTCAACCACCACTTTGTTTTTCTTGGATTAATAAAAGAGTTGATGTACAGAACACCCTGTTCTAAGCTCCACTATGCTTTCCGACAAACAAGGACCACCAGAGATTAGACTTCATTGCTTCATCCTTGCTCTGGCTATGCTGGTGGCAAAAGCCTCTTGTCTGCATTTGGCCTCCCGTTTATTCTTAAGCATTCCTGTCTCCAGCCACAGCTCCCCACAACACATCTGAATTGCACAGCTGTAATATTGACAAACAGGACTAATGAGAGCAATTCAATTGCCATCTGTTTAACAAAACATACCCTTCTAAGAGAATATCCAGTCTTACTGCATTTAGTACATAGTCATAACATTGAAATGACATGTGAGAATCAATACAAAATATTTATTTATTTTTCAAACCACAGAATTCACCGCAGAGCCACACCATAAATTTTCCAGAACTGTAAGCCATTAACATTGCATTTCTAAACAATGCAATCCAACCAGAAATGAAGATAATTTCCAATCAGCAGGGGTACAACATATACTAGGGTCCTAGAAGACTGTACCTCTGACTAGCATTTTCTTTAATTCTCCCACAGCCACTCCACCAACATAAGTATAAACAGTGTATGTACTTGTGCCACTTAGCTCTGGAAAGAGGTTCAAAATAGGGTCTTGGCCAGTGGAGGTGGCAAAGTGTCAATGACTTAGTTAATAAACAGTGGGGACAGAAGAGCAATCATTTCCTTTGGAAAGAACAAGGGTCCTTTCATATATCCTGGTGGCCAGAAACGGGCAAATTTCAACAAGGTAATGAAAATAATAGGAAAGCCATTTCTCCACAAACTCCTATGACCTCTATTTTAACTTCTGATAAACATGAACTTCAACTTATGCAACCTTATTGAAAACAGCAATCGCAACCAGAAAGGTCCTTGTAAACCTCTTCTGGGTGTCAGTCAAGGGATTCATACTCCGATCTTAAATTTTCAAGTCTCCTTAATAGGCCTAAACCTGGGTTAAAGTAAACATAATACTCTGAAGCTCAAAGAGACACCATAAAAAAAAAAAAAGAAACCCAAAACATCGAAACAATGACTGGATAGCTCATGTAGAGGTTCTGTTTTGCTTCTTAACTGTAAAGTTTTTTTTAATATCTCAGATTAGTGTATATTCATAAAACAATGTTATCTAATAATAGCTGCTTTATTTAGACAATTGAATTTTAGCTCAAGGGCAATGCCTCTTGCATAATAATCATGGAAATAACAAACTGCAATAAAACAGAAGAAACATAGAAGAAAACAGAGCTAGTCTCAATGAGAAGATGACAAAATCTGGAAGGGCTACCCTGGGAGATTAAACAGGCTTATTTAAATACTATGATACAAGCGCTCCTGTTCACTTTTTAACTCCAGAAACCAATCGTGTTTGTCAGATCACCATTACCTTTGCTAGTTACATGTGCACAGACCACCACTCTGAAGTTCTCCTTTTGTGCTGAAAAACTTTCAAATCCCTTGTTCGGTCAGTACAGAATATTGTGAGGTGATGCATGTGCAAACTCTTCCTGAGGAATTCTTTATGTGTGCAAATTTGCAACCTGACAGAAAGCATGGCATGTAGCACGGGGAGTGACAGCTTTATGGGGCTGGAGGGCTGGAGATGCACGTGCGGTGTTAACAACCACGGGGCTTCCAGTCTTCCGCAATCTCACTTACTCACAAATTGGCTTTCATCCCATACCCCAAAGAAAGGGAGGGGAACCTCCTCAAACTTGCAAAAGGGACAGGAAAAAAAAGTAACTTTTCCACAAAATTTAATAATGCACAACTCATGCACCCAGGTTTTTGTTTCTTCTAACTCTACCTAAGAACTAGTAGATTAAGAATCACACCACCAGGTTTTGCTCTCTGCCCCATATAAAACAAAGCAGTTGGGTTAGGATGCAGCTGTGACAACAGAGGATATGAGATGACACTGTTACTGAAGCTTAACACCAACCTTTAAAATAAGCACCGTCTCTCAAAACGACGATCATGTACTGATGTTACGTGTCATCATTCCAAGGTGAGTGAATTGGCTTTCTTTGGAGGGTCTGGTTTCAGGCTGCACACACACACTAGTCAGTATGGCCAAACCAAATGCATGTGTTGACTCATGAGACAATCAACCTGCTTTACAATTTTCTGCCTTCGATGATTTGGATCCCACAAAAAGCCAGTGTTTAACTGGAGTGCAGAGACTATATACTGTACTGGCAAGAAGAATACAAGTAAACACAAGAAGAAAATACTTTTAGGCAAACAGTGCTTAGTCAATACAAAATGGAGGCAAATCTTATTCCCCTCATGTTGCAAACTAAGACTTTTGTTAAGAATCCCAATTAAATAAGCAAGGTCAACAATGACTTAAAGGAATAGTTTCTTCATACTGCAATGTACCTCAAGGGGCCAAAATGAGTAAGAAGCAGGTCGAATGCACTGGGAGAATGTGTATATTCTTTCTACAGTGCCTTCCAATCACAGCTTTGTGCCACTAAGCCCTCACCCACAGCGAGCTGCAGCCACTGTGCAAAAACGTACAGAGAAACTAACTTCTGCAAACTTTACTCTGCCCACTTCGTTAACACATACGTAATAATAAAAAGACAATATAAAATATTTCTCCATTAACTTAATAATGCAAAAAGCATCCAAAGATTTTAATGCCTATCCACATCCTAATACAATGCTTTTAGAGGGAAAGTTTCATTGTTGGCCAAAGAATACTCCCTTCCTGGAAAAAGCATTTGGGTATATTACTAGGACACTGAAGAATTCATCCACATTTAAAGAAACATTCCAATTTCACTCCTTTCAGAAATATTATTAAAACCGCTCAAGAGTTCAGTTGCAGGTGTTATTTATAAGCCTGCAGCAAGCATTCCATCGAGTAAAGTAAAATTTGAACTTCTTGATAAAACTGAATTCTTCCCTGATATTAGAATATGTTACTGGTGTAGCAAGTCAAACTGTACAGGGCACAGTGAGAGCCTGTATATATTCTTACAGTAATTCAGTGTTTCTCAGTATAACCCAAGATGCTCACAGAGTGAAATGAGCCCAATTCAAAGTCCTCCTCAAAATCCACCAACCCTGGTTGATAAGTACTTGAAAAAATAAATCTGATGACCTTACTTTTACTTCTCTGAATACTCATGTTACACACAGAGAACTTCTTCTATTAGACTGAATCGCTCCCAACACTTCAAACTCGCCCCCCAGCCTGCTCCCCCAAAAAAGGACCAAGTGGATTGGCAGAGACAACTCTACGAACAACCTGAAAATCAGAAGCGTGATGGTCGGTACCCCTGATGTGTCTTCTTTTTTGCCCCTAGTCCTCTGAAGACGTAAATATTAGTCTAACATAGCTGACACAGCCAAAGAGAGTCAAGCACATGCTCAATTTAGATTTAAGCAAAACTGAGAAGAAAAATGTTTTTCCCTTGCCGCATCTTTCTATTTTACTTTGCCTTTCAAAAACAACTTGGAATAAGCTCCAGAGTCTTTTACCAGGAACTAAGCACTGTGGGTGTATGGAAACAGAAAATATAGCTTGGCCACAGCTGGAAGGGAGCCTTAAAACAGCAGTGCTACTTTTTCTCTATTATACTCGAATATGATGTTTTAAAAGATGCAGACTGCAAACTTTTTAATGCTTTTTTTTTTTTTTTTTTTTTTTTTTTTTTTTTTTTTGCGGTGCGTGGGCCTCTCACTGCTGTGGCCTCTTCCGCTGCAGAGCACAGGCTCCGGACACGCAGGCCCAGCAGCCATGGCCCACGGGCCCAGCCGCTCTGCGGCATGCCGGACCCTCCCGGACCGGGGCCCGAACCTGTGTCCCCTGCATTGGCAGGCGGACTCTCAACCACTGTGCCACCAGGGAAGCCCCTGCAAACTTTTTTTAAGTACTTATCTCACCCATAAAAATGAAATCGATCAGGAATCCCACACCATTGACTATGTTTGAATTTAATTACCATATCTGCTTCGTAGAGCATCACAGGAATCAGCTTTAACCACTGGGTAATTCTCAACAATATTAAAAAGGGAGCTCTAGTGCTAAAGTACCGGCCAGCCCTAAACTAGCGTAATGCCAACACTCCAGCAGTCGGTGAGAGCATGTTAAGTGACGGAGGGAATGGAAATGGTCTACGAGAGTTGGTCCCCAACATTAACGTGAACAAGCCAGGGTGAGGCAGGAGGAAATCTGACCAACGTGCAACATGTTTCTATTTTCCCACTTATTTAGCATCCTGCTATGAAGTCACACCTGACATCTTGGCAAGTTAGTCTGTGATACCATCAACTTTTTCAGGAAGCATTTGTGAGTTTGACAACACGGTCACAGAGCTGCAAAGTGCACAAAGCTCAAGGCACAGAGTAGAAGAGTTGTGAACTGATGGTGCGGGTGGGGGGTGGGGGGAGAAGTTATATTGGAAGCAGAGTTAGCATCTTCCTGTAAGAAGACTTTCTAATGTTAAACAAAGACCAACTCTTTTAAAGGGGTTTGTTTTGGTTAGGGGTGAAAAATACTTATTGTAACGATCTGCTTGATTTTAAAGCAAAAGATATCTTTCTGTATGAAACCAATATGCCAAAGTGCCAAGTCCGCAAATGAACAAAACAAGTGCTTTAAAAAAAAAATAAAAAAGATTCTTCTGCTCTTATATTTTTGGAGGAAGCTGCTGACTTTGGCTGCTGGATCTCACTTAGCAATGGTCACTCTTCATGACGCTTGTTCCTCACGGAATCTGTAGATAAAGTCATTAGAAGATTGTCCCATTTCAAAATCATCCCCACGTCTAGCAGCAACTGTTTTGTTTTTTGTTTGTTAGTTTTTTGTTTTTTAAAATTACAAACCAAAGTAAGAACTCCAACATCCTTTTCCAAGAACAGCTTGGTGACAGAGCTCCTGAGTGTCTGCAGGACCCCGCTGCGCTCTGAATACAGTCTCTGCAGCTCCAGTGTGTCCTCTTTTCAGGAAGGAAAGTACATTCAATACATTCACTATCTGTACCCTCTGGAACTTGCACATGCTGATGAGCTGTCTGAAAAAAACATCAGAAGAGTTTAAGTATCAACAGCAGACAGCTTTTGATAATGGTAGGAATCTGTTTATTTATCACATATTTCTCACCCCTCTCCCAATCCCCCAGAAGGAGATCAGACAAAACCTCAAAACCATGTGGTTTTGAATGAAGTGAAAGGGGACCAAATCATCAGGAGCTGAGTCTGGGCCCTTATCTCATTCTAGTGGAGACTAAAGAACTGGCAGTCTCTTGACAACTGCCTGAAAACTGCCACCAGCAACTGGGCTTCAGAGCTGCCACAGCTTACAGAACAGTCTGACCCTGACTGCACACAGTGCCCTTGGAGACCACCATCAAGAACACTGGATATCATTATAACCAGTGGCTGCCTTACATCACAAAACCATCAAGGATGGTAAGGAACATCATTACTTACTATAAGCCAACTCATCCCCAGCTCTCTTCCGGGACTGGTCACCTCTGGGGATTAAAAAAAAGAAGAGGGAGTCAACAGAACTGACTGATAGCTTCACACAACAAAGTAGGAGAAATGAATTGGCAAAATTGACAATGGAAGTAGAGCAGGTATTTCAATTCTAACAACCTATTTTAAAACAGACATTAAACTTACAACAGTAGCTGAGTCATTTATAACCTGAATATTCTTAGCTAAAAGGTGCTATCTTTTAAACATAGAAAGCTATTAAATAAAGGAAGGACTATCTATAAAGATGGTTTACCCTGGGTCCTAGAAATCGATTGACTAAAACATCTTTGAAGACAAACCTGGGCTCTACTATCGACATCCCTGGTGACCTGCATATAACAGGGCAAATTTCAAATATGGAATAGAAAAATTCAAAATCTTCCACTAAAAGCCGTATTACGGGACCAGAAACTGCTTAAAGCTTTTGAAAAATCTCAGAATCTTAATGGACATGAATACCCTTCTCGCAGATAGAAGAACGTGAACCTTTACAGAGAATAATCAGCTCATCTTAAACACCCACAGAATTTCTAGTTCCACTTTAGAGATAATGAAACAGAGGTCTGATTAAGTCCTATGCTATCTGTAAATCCTATTTTTGTCTCTCCAGTTTCTCAGACAAATGACTAAAATGCTTAAGTAATGAGTAATAATAACCAATCCACTAGCTTTTTCTTTCCCGGTCTCTTAGCAACATCTACACAGTTGACCTCTTTCTTCCTGCAACACTCCAAGCTCTGCCCGACACTCCGTCCTTGGCCACTTTTTCTTCACCGTGTAAAATTCTCCTTCGTCTAGGATAGCAGTCACACCAGTCCTGTGACCTGAAATACGATCCATATGCCAATGGCTCCCAGATTTCTATCTCCAGCTCTGATTTCCTCCTGACACTTTGGACTTGTAGGTCCAACTGCCTCACAGCCACTGTCACTTGGACGACTTCCATCTACTGCGAATTTACCACGGCCAGAATGCACTCCATCCCCACTCTTTCTTCAGACTTCTTCAATAAATCACACCACCACCCGTCCAATTACTCAGGCCAAAATCCTAGCTCATCCTCGATTCCTCTCTGGAGGATTCTGTCCCAGCACATAATCCAAAACCAACCACTCCTCAGCCCCATGGCTACAATCCCAATCCAAACCACTATCATCTCTCCCCTACACCACTGCAAGAGTCTTAGTATTAGTCCAGACAAAAGCCAGAGCAATCTTATGTAAAAGCATACATAGGATTATTTCACGCCTCTGATTAAAGCCCTTCAGTGGCTTTCCATCACAGTTAAAAAAAAATCAATTCAAATGCATTTTCCCAGGGCTTCCCTGGTGGCGCAGTAGTTAAGAATCCGCCTGCCAATGCAGGGGACACGGGTTCAGGCCCTGGTCCGGGAAGATCCCCCATGCCGCGGAGCAGCTAAGCCTGTGCGCCACAACCACTGAGCCTGCGCTCTAGAGCCTGTGAGCCACAACTACTGAAGCCCGCGTACCTAGAGCCCGTGTTCCGCAACAAGAGAAGCCACTGCAATGAGAAGCCCACGCACCTCAACGAAGAGTAGCCCCCACTCGCCACAACTAGAGAAAGCCCACACGCAGCAACGAGGACCCAATGCAGCCAAAAATAAATAAATAAAATAAATAAATTTATATATATAAAAAATCATTTTCCCAGTCCTGTGAGATTTGGCTCCTGCCTACCTCTCCAAGCTCATTTTCTACCCCTGTTCATTATACTTCAGCCACTCTGGCTCTCTTTCCGTCCCTTGGACATGTTAGCACTTCCGCACTTACTACCTTCTCTGCCTGCGACACCCTCGCCCCAGTTAGCCGCATGGCTGTCTCCTTACCGTTTAGCTGGAATTCTCCTCTACATCACCAAGTTAGCCGGAACAGCCCCTCATGCGCGCCTTGGCCACTCACTCTCTATCCCATAATCTGCTTCATTTTCTGCCTAGCACTTATTATTACTTGAAATAATCTGTTTACACGTTTGTTACTTAACTCCCAACAGCAGAGCATAAGCTCCATAAAAACAGGAGCTCTGCCTGTCTTCTTCACCCAGTACCTAGAGCAGCATCTAGCACATAGTAGAAAATACAAAATATTTGCTGAATTAATAAGTGAATAATTCATAAACAGCCTCTAGAGATGGATTAAAATGCAGCCCAAGTAATTATTTCATGCTTTTGTGTAATACTCCAGATTACCAAAGTTTCCCACTTTCTTTCTCTGGTTACACTCAAGACCAGGACAGAAACCTATTGCTGAGCTGGGTGAGGAGTCTTAAGGACCGGCAGGAAGAGAACACACCAAAGGGTCTCTGCAGGGTTCTTCTCTAGGCTGAGCATTTGGAGGAAAACTCAGCACAAACTCGCTTCAGACAGCCTAAAGAGCCCTAAACAGATCCGCCTTAATACTGCTTTTAAACACCTCTGTTGTTAACACAGTATCTGGCCAAAGCCCGCTGAGAGTCTTACACTAGTATCACAGTAGCATTCACCAAATATTCTGAAACAAGTAAGTTAATGCTGAGCAAAAAGGAAAATACAGGATGGATCTTGTATCTGGAACCTCAACTTCTACAGACAGCCTTCATTCCCACCCCCCAAAATGTTTTTAAAAATGGAACATGCAAAAATAACAGGAGAAAAATGCAGATGTGAAAACAACAGGAGGCACAAAGAATGTAAATGTGGTGCATGCATGCGAGAGGCTGCCAGAGACATTACCTAATAATGCTACAAGTCTAGAAAGCTATAAGCTGCCCTCAAAAACAGACCCCTGCTACTAAATGAAAAAGCCCCAATCCTGGAGTGACCCTCTCAGCTAAAAGACCAATAATACTCCTAACAAGGTTCTATTTTGTTCCAGAAATCCAGGTAACAATCACTCAGCAAGAACATTTTACTTGCCTTTAAAAGCTATTTGGTTACACCCTCTGAAGAGGCCCATAGGCTGGCTTGAATGAGGATGCTCCATCTGAGGGCCTGCATGCTAGAAGTTCCCAAATGAGCTTATCTTCCATAATGTAATCTTTGACAACAAACACCAACCTGCCCTTCCCCCAATAAGCAATTCAATTATGCAGGTAATACATAAAAAGAAAATATTGCTCTTAGCTTGTACATTACTTCTAGCTTTGAAATAACTCCACGCTATATTTCCATGAACCTAAAGATGTTTCACATAAACTCCAGCCCAAACGAGAATCTGTCCATTAACTGCAAAAGAGGATATATTTGATAATATTCACATATTATTTCAAAACATTTCAAAGACTTTCTCTGTGCCATCTACATTAAAGCTGTGTGCTGCTTACTCCCTATATCACATAAATGGAACACAGCCTTAAATAAAAAAATAGTTTGCAAAGCTGAAAAGGAATCATGTGATTGGCTAGACACAAACCATAAAATGACTGCTCATATCAGGATAGCCAGTAACAGAATTTTTGTTAGATAGCTTAGACTATATTTTTGCATCAGTGGACATCATTTCTTCCAAAACAATCCTAGCCAAATAATGATCAAAGGCAGCATCAAGTTTGGCAGGGCAGAATATGGAAGGTCCATACACAAGTGGTGGAAGCACAGGCAAACTGTCTTCAGCTGCTAAGTATATGGTGCGGGCACACCCTTTCTGACCAGTCTGAGCCAGTTCAGCATGAGTCCAGAATGTCAGGTAAAGCGGGGCCTACTCTGTGCAAAGCACCCATCAGAATAAGTCACGAGGCAGCCTTTAATCCTCATAGTAAATGTATAATAATTTGTTAGCTTAATTCTAGAAATGGCTCAATTCAGTTTGTAAAATAAAACATTTTAATTTTATCAAGTTTTGGAATACTAGCATTTAAATTTCATATGAAAGAATTCCACTAAGAGAAACAAAAGTTCATATTTACACCAAAAATCCAAGGCATTTCCCTGAATATGACCAACTTGGCCTTGTCAGAACAGTGCTAGGCTAGTCCTTCAAATGCAATGTTAAATGAGACTATTTATGGAGTCAGTCATCCCAAGCAACTACACACCAAACAGTCCTGCACCCTGGTCTCTTATTCCAGTTCCCAAATTAGGATTACAAAACTATCTCTGGGGCTTCCCTGGTGGCGCAGTGGTTGAGAGTCCGCCTGCCGATGCAGGGGACACGGGTTCGTGCCCCGGTCCAGGAAGATCCCACATGCCACGGAGCGGCTGGGCCCGTGAGCCACGGCCGCTGAGCCTGTGCGTCCGGAGCCTGTGCTCCGCAACGGTAGAGGCCACAACAGTGAGAGGCCTGCGTACCGCAAAAAAAAAAAAAAAAAAAAAAGAAAGAATGAGTAAAATTACTATAGCATTAAGTGGCCTCATTCAGTGTATGAAAATAATTGTTAGAAATATTACAATTGATGTCAGGAGACCCCTGACCACCAGACATCAGGGAGAGAAGTCAGCTGTTTACATGCACTATCTCCCACTGGCCTTTCCTTGCCATAGGAAAGGCAGGGTTAGCAGGCCTGTCTACACAGCTTCCCTGTGATGGCTGACTGAACCTTTCCAGTGTGAGCGGCCAGTGAGGGGGGTAATGACCCATGGATTACTCAGTGCCCCCTCTACCACATGAATAAAGATGCCACCAGGACAAAAAGGGAATAAATGCCAATCCATGGGTCAACAGAGAACAAATTATCTGCTTTCTTTCCTTACCTGTGCTGAAATTAGAAACTTAGGAACAGTGATCTTGATCAAGGCTGGTATTCTGAGAATGAGCATGGCCTCAGAGTCTATGAAAGACAGTGTCCACCCTCTGCCCCAGCCAGATAAGTGAGTCAATACCCAACCTACTCCTTGTGGTCACAACTATGCCTCAGTGAGGAACCCAGGTGTCTTCCTTTCTACAACTTTCTTCCTTTAATGCGAGGGATTCAAGTAAGAGAAGATACGTAAAAGTGCTAAGTAGAGGGCCAGGATTATAAAAATATAAAGTATTACTTATTCCAATAAAGATATTAAAAAAACAAAAATAAACAAACAAACATAAAGTACTACTGTACCCTTTAATGATTTGATGACAGAACAGGGTGCTTTCCCATAGGGAATCACAAAATTTTTACATAATTTTGGTTGAAAATATGCACTTTGAAAGATTTTCTGGGATAAAGCCATGATACTGAATTGCAAATTTTAGAAAAATTAGCGAAGTGTTTACAGCAAAATCAAGGGAGGCTGGACTTCCCTGGTGGCACAGTGGTTAAGAATCCGCCTGCCAATGCAGGAGACATGGGTTCGATCCCTGATCCGGGAAGATCCCACATACCGCAGAGCAACTAAGCCCGTGCACCACAACTACTGAGCCCACGCGCTACAACTACTGAAGCCTGCGCGCCTCGAGCCCGTGCTCCGCAACAAGAGAAGCCACTGCAATGAGAAGCCCGCACTCTGCAACAAAGAGTAGCCCCCGCTTGCTACAACTAGAGAAAGCCTGCATGCAGCAACGAAGACCCAACGCAGCCAAAAATAAAAAATAAACAGGAGAAAATTTAAAAAAAAAAAAAAAATCGAGGGAGGCAAATTTTGTGGACACATATAAGTGATAACCTACTTTTTAAGAAGAAACAACTAGAATTTAGGGGAAAAATGGAAATATGAAAAACAGAATCTGAAGGCTCTTTACCAGTTTAGTTACAATATCATTTGTTAGTTTAGTCATAAAATCATTTGCTAGTTTAGTCATAAATGTACATTATAACTGATCATAAAATTTCTACAAGGTTTTTCCAAATATTCAAAACTAGTATAAGCGGATCAAAGTTGGAAGAGCTCTTTTGAGGCTGTCCAGCCTAACTGCCCACCCAATGAGAAATCCCTTCTTCAAACTCCACTTAAGTGAAGAGCAGCTCCCATAAAATCAAAACCCAGCTTCAACACTTCCACAGAAGGGAGCTCACCACCTCTCCCAGCAACACCACCTTGACTCTCACACAGCCATCTCCCATTCTAAGAATGCTGGCATCCCTCCCCTGCCAAGCCAAAGGAAATGGACATACTTTGTCACAAAAGGAAAAGAAAACTTGCCTTGTAAAACCATTCTGTATAAGTTCTCTTTGAAGTTTCTGATCTTGAGCAGCATATTCAGAAAGTTCAGACTCCACTGCACGAGGGAGAATGTTTGGAATAAATTTAGAAAATAGAGTCGGAGCCATCTGAACCCACTCTGTGAGGGAAGGAAAAGATTCATTAAGGAGATCGTATAGACAAATTAAATTAAGTAGAAAAGGAAAAGTTTTCTTCCCAAAGAACAAGATTATGTATTAAACCAAACTTAAAATGGGGAAAAAAACTAGTGCAACCCCTTCTGATAAAGAGGTTGTTTCCTTTCTAAATAGAATTTACAGAAAGTGGATATTTTTATATTTTTTATGATTTAACAACATTAACAAAAATCCCTAGAGAATTTTTGAAGGAACCTTATCAAAAACTCTAAATATGGAAGAAAACATGAACGAAATAACCAAAGAATTCTGAGCAGGAGGGGACTTGGAGGGAAGGGATTTGGTGGAAATACTCAGCCCTATAAAACATTAATTAAAACAATACACTGGCCTAAGAATAGAATAGTACATGTGGTAGTAAGCAGACATATAAAAAAAGTACCACAAAAATGCGGAGGGAGATGGGAGAGATAACTGGTAAGTACTTTTAAAATATAAACCTACTTTGACTCACATTAAATTACAGCAAATTAAACATATATAACAGTGAAAGAAAACAGAATTAAATGGTTATCAAACGATTAAGGAAAAGATAAAAGATCAACAGAATAATCTATAGAAAAATAAACATTCATTCATCAAAATAAAAAGGCAAAGCGAAGTCTAAGGAAAATATGTGCATCAGACATGCCAAAGATAAATTAGTATCCTTATTATAAAGTGTTTTAACAGATCAGA